AAAACAAATAGAAACATACGCCAACATAGGGAGCTGTTCGGGTCAAAACGAATAGAAACATACGCCAACATAGGGAGCGGCTATCCTACGCGGTACAATTTGGTTTGCGGGTCTGTTCGGATCAAAACGAATAGAAACATACGCCAACATAGGGAGCTGTTCGGATCAAAACGAATAGAAACATACACCAACATAGGGAGCTGTTCGGATCAAAACGAATAGAAACATACGCCAACATAGGGAGCAGCTAGCCGACAGTCGACTGAAATTTGAAAAAGGTCAGTCAATTTTCCTTCTGTCTCAACTGTTTGATCAAGATCCAACAGACGTCGTTCGTCTTCAACTTCTTGCCTTTTCTTCCTCTCGTGCACGCGCCGGTCCAGCCTAGCCTTAACCGCCGGCCCTCGCCCCCCCGCGACCGCCTCGCCGCCCCACCCTTCCCTAAATTACCCCCCACCGCCCGTCTTCCGCCGCCCTGGCCATCCCTCTAGGGCCCCCCCGACACCGAGCTTCTTCTCGGGCCACTGCCCCACCACCGCCGGCTACCACCGCCCCACCCTGAACCCTAAAATAGATGATGGGGTGATGACGGCGAGCCCATTCCTTCTCTCCAGTGAGGCCCTTCCTTCTCCTTCCATGATTCGAAAATCGACTGACCCAAACTTGAAAAGTCAGTCGGCTGAAATCTAGATAAACTAGCCAACATATACTTAAATTGCGTTTCTTTGGTGTCCGTCCAAACACATTTTCAGCTTAAATTTGTGTCAGGTTTGCGTCCACGAGTCCGCTAGGTGTTCACCTTGGGACCGTGCTTTGACCATCCAATGTGTTCGGATATGGGTTTGAAACGATGAGCGTTCGAATGTGGAACGTGTTAACGTGGGAAGGCTTGACAAAAGGGAAAAAAGTGGAGCGGGGAACCACCTTTCTTTTATAGAAATTTTTGGATTTTGAAAACAACCATAGCTTCTTTTAGATATAACACATATATATATAGGAGAGAAAATTGCATCCGGAATCGTGTCTATTTTATACTGTTTTTGACGGGAACCCGAAATTGTATCTATTTTAAGGTATGCAATACTTATAACATATTTAGATATGTGCTTTAGCAAAACTGTATTTTATATTTTGACGGGAATCCGAAATCGTGTCTGAACGGATCTGATTCTCTTCAAACTTGGTATCCAAACAATCCGTCTATAAATAAAGGAGATAACCTGACGTGCTGTACACCATAGAACAGAATAGGCTGCGGGGATTTGTGGAAGCGAAAAATAAATCCACAACCACGCATAGAGGCTTGCGCGGATTCGGGGAAGCAAACTCTGGAAGGAGAGAGGGGAGATCCATCGAGGCAGCATGGGAAAAAGAGCGAGCTCGAAAGCGGGGAAAAAGGCCGCCGTCGCCGGCGCCGGCGCCAATGACAGAAAAGAGCGGCGCGATGAGACAGAGGCGCAGAAGGTAGAGCGGCTGCAGGCAACTCTGGCGTTTGTGAAGGCGGCGCACGCGGACGCCATGCTTTACCTTGACATGGAGGAGGAGTACCGGAGGGCGGGCAGGCTCCACACCTACGACCAGGACAATGAGTGGAAGAAGCGTTTGGCCAGGGTCGCCAAACTCTACCCGCCTCCCAAGCACATCATGGAAGAGATCAGTGAATATACCAAGTACCTCGAGGAAGACGAGGACGACTTCAGGATAGGCCTTTGTCAATTGATCGAGGTGAAATCAGATTTTGAGAAATCTTTTTAGTGAACGACGCTCCGCGGGGTGTGGTGTTCGTCCTTGTTCTGGCATCGTGGTTCGTATTTGTCGTGCGGTTGTTTTTTAACGCGTGGTTGTATGTATGGTACACTCCTGTCGTATTTGCGCTGTTTATTACCCCTCTGTTTTCAAATAGATAACTCAACTTTGTACTAACTTTAATACAAAGTTGAGTCATCTATTTTGAGACGGAGGTAGTAGGTTCGTATTTGTCGGATCTTTACGTTGGTTGGTTTCCTCTTTAATATTGTTATATGTTATTTACAATTTACAATATAGTAGAAGTATTAGAGAAGATTCTTTCATGTATTTATGATTTTTATCTCCTAATTAGATGTGCTTCAAACGATTTTTCCAATCTCTGTTTACTATGTTTACTAGTAAGCTTGCAACGACTCACGTCTCACTTAATGCAAATATATACACTGAATAAGCCATTCGTTCTATATTCTGAAGTTATATGTACACTAATATTGTCTCCAGAATTTTTTTAATATCTTCTTTATTTGTGTAAAACAAATAGCAGTAAAAATTCTAATCCATTACAAAGATAAATCTCACATAATGAAATGGGTTTACATGGCGTATGAGAATAATTTCGAATTGAACCAGAAGCACGACAATTGTTTTAGCATGAAAGGAAAATCTAACTATTGCTCTCATCCTGAGAATAAATACTCTCCATCTCTTGTGAGGTTACATTACAAAGGGGCAGCGGCATACTCATGACTCATGACACGGGCTGAAACTTTCTAATAATCCAAAACAAAAACAAGACAATCATTTATTTGTCTGCAGATAACAAAGCTGGTGACATTTCCGTTATGCTCGGCAACATGTATCTCTCTGCATCTGCTGTATCCATCCTTCTTCAAGGACTTCCGGTCAACAAATAATGTATTCTCTGCATCAAAGATGGTTGTTGCCTAATTAGGAATTTGTTCCTTGTGCTCTTCAGTTGTTCTTAGCCTTCTTGGCATATTGCCGTTGTTTCAGCAGACCTAGAACCATCTTCTACAAGGAGGGGACAATGCCATTAAATTAGAGAAAATTAGAAATTTTGCAATGCATCAACTTCATTGCGATATAAACACCAATTTTTAGGCACACCCGATGTTGAAGAAACATACCGTGCCTAACTTGAGAAATCACAATAATTGAACCACTAAAAAATCATTTAAGATAGGATGGCATGAGCAGTGCCACCGTAACCGCTATTATCTTTCTCTAATGAATTAAGGAAAGCTAACAAGTTTATCTACTAAGGGACATTATCCTGCAAAATAGTAAGATGTAGCATGGCATTTTGTGGTGCAAAAGTAACAGTATAGAGCAGAGTTGTTGATAGGTATCTTCATGGGGGAACTCATAAGCAACACTCGAAATAGTGCTTGAGCTGTTGCAGATGTTTTAAAGCTGACTATTGATGATAATCAACTATAACTGCTACCGAAACAATGTGTGATATACGCTCAATGTCCCGTGTAATGGCAGCGAGATCGGAATTAAATAGAAAGCATATATTAAGAGCTGAGCTAAGGCCTAGAGCAAGGGAATAATTGAAAAGGAATGAGAACATACTTAAAAAAGAAATCACCAGTTGATGGTAGCTGGCAGACCCGAAATTGCAATTTGATCAAAATCTCATGAAACATGAGGCTTAATATTGCACAGTGTATAGCTGGTGGGTAACAGTTTCTGGTCTAGCAGGCTTATAATATTATAAATGACACAAAATTTGTTCGACATAACTCTTAGCATGAGCTCATTGGCAACTCCCCTTAAGCTAGGACAAAATAATGGGTGAAATTAAAATTAAAGATTGGAAGCAGTCTTCAACGCCTTCAACATGTTGAGGCCCTACACATCCTACAAAAATGGGAGATGCAAAACCAAAAAAATATTGCTATTTTTCAGAAAATATTTAGTTAGGATATGAAACATCCATGAAAAATTTAAACCAGTAAACCAAACATGGAAGTGGAAAGAGAAACTTAAATGAGAAGTGACTATAATGCTTGTACAAATCCATTCATACGATGCCTATTCAGGAGTCAGGACAGAAGTGGATTGGGTATATCTAGTGTGAAATGTTGTGTATCTAATACTCCCTCTGTCCCATAATATAAGAGCGTTTTTGACACTTAGTGTCAAAAACGCTCTTATATTATGGGACGAAGGGAGTAGATAATAAAATCATCACTTCCTTAGCCATAAACCAAATAAATCATAAAACATATCGGAATTATCACCATGAACTAGCACATGATTGATAAGTGGCCATATCAAGATCACACCCATTAACCCCCAGAATCAATCATGACCAGTAGCGACTTAGTACAGCAGCCCAGTGGACGATTATATCAAACAATTTGATCCAAGTAAACTAAGAATCTAACACCGCTGAGGCGTGAAGATGGGAGATGGGCGGTGAAAGAGGAGGAAAATAAGGAGGTTATCACTAAATATTTTGCGCAGCTGTTCAGGTCGGAGGGCATAACACATCATGAGGAGGTGCTGAATTCAGTGGAGAGCAGGGTAACGAGGGAGATGAACTCGGGCCTAATGGCAGAGTTTAGTGCTGAAGAGGTCAAGGCGGCCCTGAGGGACATTGGGGATTTAAAGGCGCCAGGGGAGGATGGCATGCCAGCCATTTTTTACAAGCACTACTGGCTGGATGTTGGTGACAAAATCACACAGGAAGTGCTAGCCTTTTTAAATGGGGGGCCCATGCCAACTGACTGGAACAACACGTCCATCACACTGATCCCCAAGGTGAAGAATCCGGAGTGCATCAAGAATCTGAGACCAATAAGCCTTTGTAATGTGGTCTATAAGATCATATCAAAGATTCTCTCAAAGAGGTTGAAAGTGATATTGCCCGAAATCATATCTCCGACACAGAGTGCCTTTGTGCCGGGTAGGCTCCTAACTGACAATGTATTGCTAGCGTATTAGGTCATCCATTATATGCGCAACAAAAGAAGTGGGAAGGAGGCCTATGCTGCGGTGAAGTTGGATATGAGCAAGGCATATGACCGGGTTGAATGGCATTTCTTGGAAGCTATGATGGTTAAAATGGGTTTCCACCGGAGGTTTGTGGAGCTGATTATGAAGTGTGTGAGGACAGTAAAGTATCGCATCAAGATTAATGGTGATCTCACCGAGGAAGTGTTACCTGAGAGGGGGCTGAGACAGGGGGACCCGCTGTCCCCTTACCTCTTTTTGTTGTGCGCGGAAGCCTTTTCGTGTCTATTAACCAAAGCTGAGCAAAACAACTCGATCCAGGGGATTAAGGTGTGCCCGAATGCCCCTAGCATTTCCCATCTGCTGTTTGCCGATGATTCCCTCATCCCCTCAAGGCAAATAAAGAGAGTGCGGAGCAGATCCAACGTATTCTGCAGGTTTATGAGGCAAGCTCGGGCCAGACCATAAACAAAGACAAATCTGCGGCGTTTTTTAGTGCTAATGTGCAGGCAAAGGATAAGAAGGATGTGACGGGCATTCTGGGGATTGAGAAGGAGGCACTGAATGAAAGATACCTGGGCATGCCAATTCATGTGGGCAAATCAAGAACCAAGACTTTCAGGCACATAGTTGAGAGGATTCTCCAAAGGATTAGTGGATGGCAGGAGAAGCTGCTCTCTTGGATGGGGAAAGAACTCCTGATTAAGGCAGTGGTGCAGGCGATACCCACGTTTACTATGTCATGTTTTGACCTGACGAAGACCATATGTGAGGAAATTAGCACCTTGGTGTGTAAATACTGGTGGAGCCAGCGGGATAAATCCAATAAGATTCATTGGCTGAGTTGGGAGAAGATGATAATGCCAAAGAGCGAGGGGGGCCTGGGGTTCTGCGACATCCACAGTTTCAATATGGCTATGCTCGCAAGACAAGGATGGAGAATGATGCAAAGGCCAGAGTCTTTATGCGCACGGGTCTTGGGCGCTAAATATTTCCCCGATGGGAATCTGCTGAGTGTGGAGGAATCGAACAATATGTCCTACACCTGGAGGAGTATCTTGCAAGGAATAAAAATCCTGAAGAAGGGGCTCATTTGGCGAGTGGGGGATGGATAGTCAATCAATATGTGGAAGGACCCATGGATACCTAGGGGAACAACTAGGCGGCCGTCTACACCAAGCGGCACAAACATTATGTCAAAGGTCGGAGAGCTTATTAACCCGGCGACTGGGTCATGGGATGAAGAACTGGTTCGGGCCACTTTCAATGAAGAAGATACCTCCTGGATACCGGCAATCCCCACAAATTGTGAGCTGGAAGATCTGCCGGCCTGGCACTTTGAAAGAAGGGGCAAGTTCTCTGTTAAATCTGCATATTGGGTGCATATGCATGATAAAAACATGGAGGGGCTGAGAGGTGTGGCTTCGGGGGCGGAGGAAGCGAACAAAGTGTCCCCTTGGAAGAAGATCTGGCGAATGACGGTCCCAGGAAAAATGAAGCATTTTATGTGGAGGTTGGCTCATAACTTGATGGCTGTTTGCTTGAACCTGTGAAGAAGAGGACTTGATATCTCCATGCGGTGCCCTGTCTGTCAAGCTAATGGGGAGGACGGAGGCCATCTGCTCTTCAAATGCAAACAAGTTAAGGAGATCTGGAGGCTGTGCGGGCTGGAGGAGGAGAGGCTGATGCTTATGGATCAGAACACAACGTTAACAATGATGGATAAATTGACAACTCTTGCTGGGGAGAAGCAAGCCTGTATTGCTACTCTTATGTGGAACTGGTGGTGTGAGCGCAATAACCGCAGAGAAGGAGGGAAAGGAAGACGAAGCGAAGAGCTTGCGTGGATTATTGAGCATCAGACAAATGAGTTTCGAGACATCCAACTGGAACCAACGAAGCATGGGCTGAAGCCACAGCAGCGATGGAAACCACCACCAGCTGAGTGGATTAAAATTAACATTGATTCAAACAAAACGACGGCAATGGAGGCTGGGGGGCTCTGTTCAGGGATCATGTGG